TTTCATGAGAACCACTCAAAAGTTTAGTTCTACCCTTAGAAGTGTTTTGCTTTAACTGGATACAGGAAAAAGGTCTAACAACCCTACAGATGCCCCTGTGCTGAATTCCCATTGTACTGTTTTCCATTTTCTTACATCACCAAAAAACCCCAAACCACCCATGCAGTGGGTGAAACAGTCAGCATCAAAGCTAGAGTGAGCCAAGTTACCACTTGCTTACACTGCACATATTCTATTCCATGTTATTAGCACTTACATTCAAGAGTTCTCAGAGTCATCAACAAAATGGAAATGAAGCTTTGAAGCTTTGCAGATCAAAGCAAGATACCTGGATTCATTCTGCTGTCCTGCTACTGCATTTCCTGTTTCTCCAGAGCCAACATCTAATGGTTTCCTTTTTGGAATATTTTTTGACTATATACTCAGAACCCAAGTTATCAGTAGTTCATCTTCAACACCCCTGCTCATTTGAGGAGCCTTCTCACAGCAACCCCAAAAGCAGGATCCACAGCATATCCACAACATCTGCTCACCTGTTGGGTTTGTGTGCAGGGTTTTGATAGTGGGGGGCTACAGGGGTGGTTCCTCCAAGAAGCTGCTGGAAGCTGCCCCCATGTGTGACAGAGCCATTGCCAGAAAGCTCCAAGACGCACCTGCTGCTGGCCAAGGCCAAGCAGTGCCACTGACAGTGGCAGTACCTCTGGGATTATGTATTTAGGAACAAGAAAAAAACCTGCACAACTGCAGCCAGAGAGAGGGGTGAGGATGTCAGACCACTGTGGATAGAGGAAACTACTCTGCAGAGCAGCAGAGACAACATGCAGTGAACTGGCTAAAATCCCCATTCTCACACCCCTGTGCTGCTGTGGGGAATAAAGCTAAGCCCAGGAAGAAGGGAGGGGTGGAGGACAAGTGTTTTAAGATTTAGTTTTTATTTCCTATTATCCTACTCTGATTTGATTGGTAATAAATGAAGCTAATTTGTAATCCCTCCTACCCTAGCCCAAATATATACCCTGGACCCCCCCTCAAGGGGCTGGACTCTTTCCCCAGTGTCCTCCTGCCTGGTTGTCTCCCTGTTAAGCTGATCCTTCTCCTGTATCCCTGATCTCTCTGTTTTGCCCACAGTAACTGATGAGTGATCTCTCCCTGCCCTTATCTCAACTCATGAGCCTTTTGTTGTATCTTTTTCTCCCCTGTCTAGCTGAGGAGGAGAGTGATAGAGTGGCTCTGGTGGACACTTGGTGTCTAGCCAGGACCAGCCCACCACATCTGTGCATGCAAAACTCTAAGCAGGAGGAAAATGCCTTAGGGCTACACTGCTCTCTCCCCTCAATTTTTCCATGTCATGGGCTGGTGTTTCCCAGCACAACTTGGCAATTGCAGCATCGAAGCCTTCCAGCTACAGCACAAAAGGCCACTCATCAGAGGATCCAAGAGTCACCAGCTAGGCTAGACACACACAACAGTACCCAATTCTCTAAAGCAGAGGTAAAGGTTTGGGCAGGAGAGCATACAGAACTGCACTGAAACTACAGCACTTCTAACAGGGAAACAAAGAGAGCTTAGGGCAGGGCCAGCTGTTTGGAAACAGCCAAGAATATACGACAGGGAAGGCAACGGGATTGGAGAGTGCAGAGGAATTCTGTGGGTGAGAGAGAAATGTTTTTCAATGAAATTTGGGAAACAACATGATTATTTCAGCCAGGATCCTTAATGTTAGGAGAAATATTATACTTCAAAGAGATTAAAAATACTTCAGAATCTAATGCCTGAACAACTTGGAGGCAGCTGGCAGAGAAGGACAGGGGAGCAAGGAAAAGGACAGGAGTTGGGTAGTTTGCATTGAAGCAGCAACAGTCATTTTACTGTTAGGAGATGAATAGCCAACATTTGGGGTCACTGTCTTGTAGATGGCAACAACAGAAAATTCCAGAATGGATAAAACAAGACTATCCAGACAGTTTGGCCTTTGGGATGGGGTGGAAGATGGAGGAATATTCCTATGGAGGAATATTTCCTCTATGGAGAAAAAAACAAAAAAAAAAAAACCATGTACAGTCCCTTTGCCACTTCTGAGATTAAAAGTGTAAATAACCCACGAAAGAGAGGGAAAGAACAGTAAGAGTTACTAAGTAAGAGTACTTAATGCAGCCTTCCCCAGCCCTTGTTCTGAAACCTGCAGCTTCACCTATCCCTTCCCAACTCCAGAGAGTTTTCTCCTCTCTGCTGTAACTGCAAACACACCAAGCTTTTCCTTCACCTTTCACTTGCTCAGACACCAACAGAAGAAACCACAACCACAACCTCCCTGCTCTCAGCTACAGCCTGAACAGCCTCAGCTGCCACAAGGAGCACAGGAGAAGCTGGCCAAGGAGGCACAGCCTGCTGTGCTGCTCACTGGGAAAGGCAGGCATAGCTTTGGGGAGCTGTGGAGTTTTCAGGTGAATGGTTCGGCTGAAGGTGCTCAACAACTTTTTCAGGCATGTGCAAGCAGTCCCATAAATCATTCAGCTCCAGGCAGGTTTTCTTAGGAATGGCATAAGGTACAACCTACACAGAACAAGTCTCCTGCCAAACCTAAGTTTTACCTCCAAAGCAAAAAAGGTACAAGCACAAGTAAAAAAATAACTATAAAAATGTTTTAGTATGAACAAAACATTGTTGTGTTTCTTTCCTTAACACACTCAAGAGATGAGCTAATGAGTCAGGCTAATTTTGCAAGAGAAATTTCAGTTGATAGCAAGAAAGCTAGCCTGGGAAACAAGAGTCCCAACAGTTAATGTCTGAGAAGGCTACAAGCAACAAACAAAGCTTTACAGTGGGAAGGGAGAAGGAAGAGCCATGGCTCAAACTCCCCATGTAATTACAACCTGATTCCACCCTTGTCTCCCAGAAGAAACTATTCCTCCTCAATCCAATCCAAATTTTGGGAAGTAAGAACCAACTTCAAATAACAATTACTCTATCACACTCTATTTTATACAATGCTGCCCTTAAAAGCATGTCCATAGTATTTTTCAGCCAGTTCTTATATCAGGTCTTCCACATCCTATCTTTCACTGAACAGCATAATCACAGCAGGTATCTACCTAACACCACCATGGAGAGCATTGCCACAGCTTTTATGTTAAAGATGACACATAGTTCAATTAAGGAAGTTGTCCACAGCAAAAGGAAAGCAGTTCATTCGGGAAAAAAACTGTGTAAGCAGCTATGACACTACTCCCTGCCAGACCTGCCTTCTCATACCCTTCATATATTCTTTATTTACCCATACACTGACCAAGGATCTTCTCTCACACTTTCCAGTCTCAGCACTGCACAGGTGGGAGAGAACAGTGATGTTCCCAGCAAAGTGACTTAACTGCAGAACATGTTGCATCCTCTGGCAAAAGGTCCTTCCTGAAGAATTCACAACACCAATGCTGTCCTAATCAGATATGGATTCCCAGGGTAACAAGAGCCATCTGCAAAAACAGGGCTCTTGCAAACACATGCCAGAACTGAGAAAAGGTGTGGTTGTGTAAATTTGTGTACATTTAGTCACAAATAATGTATGGTGATACTCAGCACAGTCCTGTCAGCCACAAAAATTACCATTTCCTACCAGCTACCACTTGAACCAGACTGGCAATATTTGCACTGTTCCTAAGTCCTACCACGAACTTTCATATTAACCTAGTATTCATAGGTCATACAAGACAAAGACTTAATATTGCTTTGCTGTAATGGGCAACAGCAGCAATGCCAAGCAGCAAATGTGAAGAGACTGTTTTCCTTTTATTCAGGTTATAAGGATGCAAAACATTTTAAAATTAAAAACATATGATCCCAGGCATCACACCAACACCAGCCCTCAATGTTCCCTTCAGGCGAACAACCAATAGGCGACACAAATACTGAGATGATGTAAACAGTGGGGTGAGATTCACCCCCTAATGTTATTGCATAATTCATATAACTGCTTTAGCTACTATGATTGCTGCTGCTCAGGTATGTAGGAAACTGTTAAAATTGAGTGACAAAATTTACAGATAACTATCTGCCAGTACTTTCCTGCACCAAAACAAAGCACTCTTCACCTTTCATGAAAGGACACAGGTGTGCTGTACTTTATGAGCTCCTAACAAGATACATTGTTCTGTATCTGCTGCATGAAGTTCCCACTCAACTGAAACATCACACCGCTTCCAACAAGGCTCCTACTCATCTTACATGTCTGTAATCAACGTGCAACAGCCAGGCAGAAGTTTTTCCCGAATTAAAAATTAAAAGCTTCAGGAAGAAGCAGAACACACTAGTCAATGCCAAAACCACAGTTCATAGGGCTCCCTTCTTGGGCTGTTTGTAACACTGTGGCAGGTGAGGCCACACAGACACCAACCGAAACACAACTGATAGATACAAAGCTCTAAAAGCTTTGAAGTCTGTTTTGAAACTCACAGCTCCTTCCAACAAAACTAAATAATCAACACTGGTCACAGACCTGTGAGGTAGATTCCCTTAGCCATGCAAGTGTTAGCAGGGTTCACTGCTCCACTCTTGGCCACAATCACTGACCAAACCAGGATTACACTGGGAGTTTCCCGTTTCCAGCCCACTACAAGAAGTGACTCGTTTTCACACCCCTCTCCCACACACTTTTGAAGCACCGCTAATTCCGAAAAGTAAAACAACGTAGCAACACGGTAAGCACAGTAATGTATCCACAGCTGAAGAGGAGCGTCCAAAGCCGCTTTGGAAGCACTCCTCACCCAGCCGTGCAGGTGAGGACCAGCGGCGGGACACCCGCAGGGATGCTGCACTCCTGGACGCTTCTGCCTCACGCTGCAAAAGGCTCAACGAAACCAAGCCAACCCGTGGCTGCCCCGGGGGAGGATGCCGCCCGGCCCCAGCCCGCGGGAAGGCACCGCCACGAGCAGCCCCCAGCCCCCTCTCCGCAGTCGTTCCACTCCCCGGAGCGGAGCCGCGCCCCGTCCCGCCCCGTCCCGGCTCACCTTCCCCGGCGGGCGCCCGGCTCCTACATCTCCTCCCGCTTCTGGAAGCTGATGCTGGCGTACGCGCTCAGATCCTCGCCACAGTGGCCACTCCCGCGCTGCTGGCCCGGGGGCTTCGGCGGCAGCGGCTGCTTCGCCTCAGCGGGGACGTGTGGGTGATGGTGGCGGCGGTGGCCGCAGTCCCTCACCAAGTCCAGGTCGATGTAGTTGAGGCCGTTCTCCACGGCGGGAGCGACCCCCGGGTCCCGGCGGGCGGCCGCCTCCCCCGCGCCGGGCCGCAGCCACACGTTCTCGAAGGAGGCCGAGCTGTGCCGCTTCACCTCCTCGGCGCCCCCCCCGCCGCCGCAGGGAAAGGGTGCCCCGAGCCCGCCCGCCGCTCCGCGGGCCGCGCTCGGCGTGGAGGAGAAGGTCTCGGAGCTGTGCCGCCGCCGGCCGCCCTGCGGGTCGGCGCGGATTACCTTGGCGCTCTGGTTGCGGCCGGGGCTGAGGCTGACGCGGGTGAAGGCGCTGCCCGAGCCCAGGCCCCCCAGCAGGGAGGAGGAGCGCGGCGGCGCCGCCGACAGCTCGGCCGGCGGCCGCGGCAGCTCCGGGGACGCAGCGGTGGCGGCCGCCGGCGGGGGCTTTTCGGGGCCGGCGCGGCCCCCCCGCACCTCGGCGTAGCTGATCAGTCGGGCGGGCGAGCCGGGGGACGGGCTGTCCGCGTAGTCCGAGCAGGAGCCCCCGCCAGCCGCGGCGCCCCCCCGCTGCATCGCCACGTAGTCCCGGCCGAGCCGGGCCGCCCGAGCGGTGGCGAAGCCGGGCGGGCAGGGGGCCCGCGGCGGGCCCGGCTCCATGTTCATGTACTCCTCGGCGGCCTCGCTGCCCGGCGGCGGCAGGGCCATGCTCAGGGCAGCCGAGGGGAAGGGCGGCTTCTCGCCGGCGATGAACTCGATGTTCACGTACTCGCCGGGGCTCTTGGGCTCCGGGGGCAGCAGCACCGGGGGCTGCTCCCGGGCCCGCGGCAGGGTGCTGGCCTTAGGGCCACCCAGCGACAGCCGCGTGGGGCGCGCCAGGCGGCCCCTGGTCTGCACGGCCGTGTCCACCTTGCGCGGGGGCTGCGCTTGAGGCGGGGGGCCGCCCTCGGGGCCGCCGCCGCCGCCCAGGCTGTCGCTGCTGGTGGAGGACGACGAGTCCTCGGCCGCGTAAAGGAGGCGGCTGGAGCCGAGCGCGATGCGGGGCTGAGGGCTGCCCTCCTCGGCTGTCCCCGCCGGCCTGCTGCCGCCCCGCCGGTGCACGTGCTTGAAGGAGCGTGGTAGCGAGAAGTAGGAGTAGATGGGTTTGTGGTGCGCTACGGTGGCCGCCTCCTCGACCCCCGGCTGCCCCGCAGCCCCGAAGTAGCAGTCGGGCGGAGTGCTGGTGGTGGAGCCGCTGGCTGGGGACATGTTGATATAGTCGCTGCCGCCGCAGGGGAGCTTCCCTTCGTTGCTCTCCACCGAGAGTTTTGGGTGGTGGCCGGCACCATTCGTCCAGATCTTGCCGTAGCCCGCAGAGCTGCTGTCGGGGGAGTAGCTGCCACTGGGGGACATCATCATGTAGCCATTAGAGTCCACTGTGGCTGGAGGGTGGCGGCCACCCCTGCCAGGGTTGATGATCTGCTGCGGGGCCGACACACTCTTAGGGCTCATGGGCATATAGTCACCACCCTTGGGGGGCCCCCCACCACTGGGCACAGGGGCTACACCAGGCGACATGGGCATGTAGCCATCATCCGTGTGCGGGGCAGAGTTGGTCCGATGATGGCCACTGTCCATGTGGTGCATCTCCAGGCACTCCTCTGGATAGGAGTGAGTGGGTACAAAGGCTGAGTGGCGGTAGGAGGGCAGCCTGCTGCTGCCACAGGGGTAAGAAGGCAGCATCTCCGTGTACTCCTCAATGGAGGCCACTGAAGACTGTGAGGGTGTTTTCTGATGGGAGATGGTGGGTGAAGTACCTGCAGAGTGAGTCCGCTTTCTGAATGCCTTCTCCAAGTCGGCAACCTCCTCACTACCACCTCGAGGACAGCAGGGTGTACTAGGATAGCGGGGCTGCTGCTGAGGGTGGCAGGTGCGTGGGATGAAATGGCCATTGGGCGCTGCCAGGCTGCAGCAAGAAGAGGTGGCCTTCCCTCCCATGCAGATGTAGTTGAGGTCTTCATCACCCCGGGCAGGGGGGGTGTGTCCCAATGAATCAGGGGTTACACTGCGAAAAGAGCTGCGAAAGTCACACGGGCTTGAACCATACTCATCAGAAGAAATAAATCCACCATCACTAGGAGAGCCAGAAACTGAAGCACTAGATCTTCGTGGGAACAGGCAGTCTGAGGTGGAGCCGTGGCCACTAGTGCTGCTGGATGACAGGCTGACTGGACTGGTGGCTGAAGGAGAGCAGCGCGAGGAAGGCATTGGGATGGACCGGCTGTGGTTCAGTGGAGGATGGAGCCTGGAGTTGCCACGGTGTCTGTGTGAGTGAGTCCGGTTAGCACTGGGACTAACTGGGCTACCATCCACAGAGGCAGGTCTTGACATTGTGCCTTCCCCATCACTCGATGCTCGAACCCGGAAAGAGCTGGGTTTGCCACCTGTACCTCCACCACCAGCAGGAGAAGTGGCCGTGACACTCTCAGTCCTGGACCGCCGACTGAGCCCCACTTGGCTCGGTGGAGGGTTGTTGACATGGTGCCTGCGAAGGGGCACAGAGATAGGGTTGGAACAGTTTGAGGAGGATTGGCTCTTGCTACGGGGCCGGAATTCCTCGCTCATGGCTCGCATGGCCTCCAGGATGGTTTCATGCATGTTCTGTGCCACCACTGAGTCATCCACTTGCATCCAGAACTCACCAGGTCCAGTGACAGCTGAGCGTCCCACCTCAATGAAGAAGAAGTTCTCAGAGTGACCACAGCGGCGGATATTGAGCAGCTGCAGCACCACAGCAGCCGCATCTGAATTCAGCTTTACAAAGCTGATGGTCTTGTTAGTCAGGCACAGGCGGTAGATGCCAATCAGGTTCTTTGTCTGGCCTAGGCCCTTAGGCTTCAGAATTACTTGCCAAACTTCCTTAAAAGCTGGACCAGGGGCTACCTCACCATAGCTGTCCTCACCTGCTTCCCCCAGTCCCGTGCTGCTGCCTCCAAAAGTGACATCACTGTGGTGGTGGTGATGATGGTGATGGAGGTGATGGTGGCCCTTGGCCCTGTTGTGCAACTGCAGCAGCGCTTGGTACCAGCTCTCCTGCTCAGGTTCACTGTCAGCTGCAATGGCAAAGTGCTCGTCCTTGGTGTAGAGGGCCACCAGGTGCTTGTTCTTGGAGTCAGCCCGTTTGTTGATGTTGAAGCAGCTTTCTAGTGGGATGGAGCGCTTGGGGGCCCCTGACTTGTGTCTCCATTTCTTCTCATTCTCGTAATACTCCAGCCGGGCGGGTCCAGACTCACTGGCTGCCCTCAGCACGAAAAATCGTTTATGCATGCTCTTGGGTTTGCGCAAGTAACCCACCTTTCTGACATCTGAGAAGAAGCCCTCGTTATTATCCGTGGGGCTGGCCATGATGAGAGGTGGTGGAGTTGTTACTGCAGCTCGCAGTCTGCAAGACCCCAAAACAGCCAAGCCAGCCAGGAAAGGCAACCACCTAAAATAAAATTCATGCAACAACAATTAACAAAAAAAAAAAAAAAAAAAAAAAAAAAAAAATAAACAAAAAAAAAAAAAAAAAAAAAAAAAAAAAAAAAAAAAAAAAAAAAAAAAGGCAAAATAGCTCAGGATCCTCTTTTGAGAACGGGACGGGGGAGGGACAGAAGCAGGATGAGAGCAGCTGTTCAGTGGCAGAGGCAGCTTCCAGCACCAAATCAGAGTTTGTGTTGCTGTTTATGCCCAAATCGCGCTTAGACGCGTAAGCTCGTCCTTAAAAAGTCCAGTCCCGATCAGTCCAGACGAAAGTCTCGTCCCAAAATGAGCAGCCGGGAATGAAAAACGCATCTTCCCTTGCAGGGGTCGGGCTCCGGCGGGGCCGGCTGTGGGGCGCGGGTCGCTTTCCTCCGCTCCCTGCACCCTTTCCCCGGCTCAAGTTTGCCTCCGCGAGCGATCTCTGTTGCAGATTAAATATCCTCTCGGGGGCGGAGATTGTTTTGCAAAGTCCGGGGTTTGCACCCAAAAATACACGCTGCTCTCCCCTCTCTCGCTCTCCTCCCAAAAAAGAGAAAATTAAAAAAAAAATGCCGCCCACAATACAACCCCCCTTCCCCAAATATCAGCGCCGAGGCTGCTGCTCCCGCTCGTGCGTGCGGAGGAGGCTGGCGACCCCATTCAGTCCCATCTCGTTAGGCAGAGAAAGTGCCATTTCCACACGCGGCGCAGCCCGGCAGCGGCGGGAGGGGAGGCAAGCCCGAGTGCCGAAGGAACATCCTCTCTTCCTCCTCCTCTTCATTCCAGGCGGCAGCGCCTCAGCGGCCGGCGGCGCGGCCCCCTCCCGTGCCCCAGCCCGCCGGGGGAGCGGGCACCGCCGCGGCGACTCCTTCTCCGCCGGCTTCTCCTCGGAGTTTCCCGGCGCCCCGCACCAAAACAGGCGGCCGGGGCCGCGCTCGCCAGTCCAGCCCCCTCCGCCCGCCGCCGCGGCTCAGGCTCACTCCAAGGAGAACAACACGTGACGGCGCCAGTGCGTGGACCATCCCCGGAGCCGCCGCCGGGCTCCCGGCCAGCGCCGCCGCTCCGCCCTCCGCCCTGCCCTCATTCAGCGCGGCCGCGGGGCCGCCGCCGCCGCGCCCCCATTGGTGCCGCCGCCCGTCCGTCACGGCTGCGGCGGCGCCCGGCCGGGCTGGGGCGCGGCGCGTAGTAAAGAGGCGTAGACGCCATTCAGCGCCGTGTTTTTTATACCCGCCGCCGGCGGCCTCTGCAGTGTGGCGGCTCCTGGGCCCGGCCGGGCGGGGAGATGCTCCCGCCTACCCGCAGCCTTTGCCGCCGGCCTCGTGGGGAGGGGAGCGGAGCGTGGGGCGCTGTGGCTGCGGCCGTGGGGCCGCGCCCGCCCTGCCCGGGGCTCGTTCCGCTCCTCGGGCTCAGACGCGGCCCCGGCGCTGCCAGCGCGGCCGGTCCCCAGCGGGGGCCTGGCGGGAGGGAGGACTCGGCACGGCACTGCCTCCATGGCGGGCGAGGCCGGGCCCCAGCAGCGCTCCCGCCATCGGCTGTGCAGCGGGTCCCTTGTCTCCCCGCGTCGCTCCGTGCTAAATTAAACCGAGCGTGCAGCGGCAGCGGCCGTGCCGGGGCTGGACGTGCCGCGCCCGCAACTCTGCCCCGGGCCCCGGGAACAAGTGCGGGAGCGCTGCGGCCGCATCCGCTGCTCAATGCTGCCCTCTGCGGGACAGCGCCCGGGCGGGCTGCGGGCTGCGCCTGCGGGGCCGGGCTGGGCTCTGGGGGTGCTTTTGGTGTTCCCTGGTGCCTCTTAGGATGGGTGACCCTGGACAGCCTGGGAGGGTAGCGGGGCTCTAATCGCCCTTGGCTGGCACTGCCCTACCCGTGCAGACTGACTGCAGCTGGGCAGAGGTGAAAGCGCCACAGCAGTGCTCTCATCTACTCTTCAGGTAAAATTACATACAAAAGTATACTCTCGTTTGGATTTGTGTAGGTCCAAACACGGGATAAATAAGTTGGAGGCTTTTCTAATGCATCTGCACTACAAAGTTTGCTGCTGCACCGATCGTGACGGTACAATTATTTGAGAGGACCGGTTGCTTGGTCAAAAGGTAAAAAATCCCCCTGAAACAGCTGAAACACATGGAAAACCCCAGAAGGACAACAGGCAGCAGCACAAACCACCCTTGCATATCATCCTGTAGAAAATACCATAAAGCACAGAATTAAGGGTGTTTACCAAACACAAGATGACAATTTGTAATGCGAGAGCAGAGTCTAGCTGGTAAGGAGTGAGAAAAAAAGACAATAACCTATATCATCACCTCATTCCTTCCTCCACACCACAGCTCATATTTGTATTGAAAATAAATCTGTTACACGTACCCGGAGATAAAGATTAGTACAAACCAAGTGTATTTCTATCCTCCAACAAGTAGGACAGGAAATTGCTGCCCCAGCCCACACCATGGAGCTGTGGGATAGAATTGCAGCCCCAAGGCATATTAAGATCAGCTGTCGTGGCTGTCATTAATGACAAGGTATGTTTTGTGAGAAGAAGGCACCATCCCCATACATCCACCGCTAAAAGGTCCTGTAGCAGGAGGATAGCTCCTCAGCCTCCTCTCCCTGTCCCTTCCCAAGCATGGGAATGCATGTTTGTGCACAGAATATATGTGCTACACTTTTAATTAAGCAACTTGCACATAGTAGGTAAGGTTATTAATATTAAATAATAACTTTTATTTGCTCTGCCCCATTCTTTCTCTTGGCTGGTGTTCTACTGATGTGCACATGTAAATGAAATGAATGAGCTCTTGATGGAGAAAAACAACTACCTGACTTGTGTTGTGCCAGGGAAGATGGATTTGAGAGTAAAAGCAGGAGACTGTCCTATAATCATAGAATTTCTCGAGTTGGAAGATACTTATATGGATGATCAAGGCCAAGGCCTTGCTCCTCACAGGACTACCCAAAACTAAACCATATGACAAAGGGCATTGTCCAAACTCTCCTTGAACTCTGACAGACTTGGTGTTCTGACCACTGCCCTGGGGAGCATGTTCCAGTTCAAGTGACTTCTCAGTGAAGAACCTTTTTCTAATGTCCAATCAACTTCCCTTAACTCATTCAGTTCATACCATGTCCTAGCCACAGTTTGTGGGCAGACAGTATATTTAAATGTGCTCCATTCATCCTGGGAACATTCTCTTCAATAATAGCTGGTTTTGCAGATAAAATCTGGTAGTTATTTTCTGGTTATCAAGGGGATTCAGTAAATGTCCCAGAAGTGTTTTCAAACTTTATATATAGATTCATGTCCTTTGCCCAGCAGAAATAACAGGCAATAACATACTTCCAGCATATTCTGAAAACTGTTTTTTAAAGTTAGTTTGCATCATGCCAGACCACATCTTGGAATTGTTTTCTTGCTCTTTGAGTTCCAAAACTCTGAAGTACTGTGCTTCTCTGTGAGGTACGTAAGTGTGCACACCAGCACACCAAAAAGAAGACCATACCCTTACTGGTCTCCCCTGCCTTGATCATGAGTGACTGAGAAGTCAGACTTTGTAACTAATTGCAAAGGGGTTCAAACCAAGACATTTAATTCCCTGTATAAATACCTATAACTATCACACTACACCACTGTCTCTCTGTACAAGAAATTCAGCTTAATTAAACAAAATTTAGTTCGCTTTTCTAACACCCATATCCAAGTCCTAAATTTCATTTCTGCAGTACCCTTTGACCATCCCCCTATATACATATATATATATATATATATATATATCCATATCCATTCCCTTGGAGACAACATGATTATTTGATATAGAGAAGGGAAGGGAGTATAATAGTACAGATAAGGATCAAAAATCCTAACTTTTATCTGCCCTAATAAGTGGTTGAAAGATTAATTTAGCACAAGGTAATCTCATGAGGCATAAAGTGTTTGAGACAATTAGTTCTCACAGTGTCTCTCCTGAATCTAGCAGAGCAGATCAATAAGGACTGGGAGATAATCAAAACTTGTGCTTTGGTAATGCTCTCTTGGTGAAATGGCATCCCAGGAAAGCAACTGCAAGGATCCAAAAGTAACTGAAGAGGTTGTGCTACTCTAAATTACAGTAAAGACTGGTTTCTCTTGAAGCCACCTTTACCTGTTCACATATAGATTCTCAGCTAGCTGCAAAAATGAGTAAAAGTAGAAGTTAAGACTCAACATGCACCCTTAATGCAGTAAGGAATAAAACCACTGCTCATTTATCTTTTCAGGTGATTGTCATAGGCTCTTGGTTTTTTTTTTGGTTTTTTGGGTTTTTTTTTGCCTCTGCCACCAACTGCTTTTATGATGGCTCTTTTTCTCCAACCTTTCTCTCCTCAGACAAATCTCAAAGCAGTTTGTTCACTTTCCTATGTATCTGACTGTTCCGTTAAAATGGTGTTAGACTTCTTATTACAATCTTCTAGAATTTTAGGGTCCACTAAAAAAAAAAAATCTTTCTCACAAGATTGCAAACCAAAATAAAAAATTCCCCAAAGGTGAAGTTACATCACTGTAAGTCTCCAAGAAAAGCAGAATGACCCTTGTTCACCACCTTCCTCCACTGACCTTGCAGACACAACTGACCTACAAGTTGCTCCCTCTAACCCCAACTCACAGTTGCTCCTAAAATGCTTGATCTCACTTTCCACACCCAGCTCCTCAGTTAAAACTATTTCTAGGCAGAATATCATGAAAAAAACCAACCCCTCCAAAAAACCCAAAAACCCAGGCCAGGAAATCAAAACTTTCTGAACATGATTTTCTTTCATTTCCTGCCGAGTTGGAATCAAGTTGTCCAGGAGCAGGAAGCTGCTTAGCCAGGGAAGGGGAGCCAGGTGCTAAGGGGCAGTGACCTCCCCAGCTGAATTCCTATTGTACCCAAATAAAGTGAGCAGGGAACCCTGGTGCTTTTTTGATGTAAAGCTTCTCCTATGTATAAATAGAATTTCCTATATTTCAGTTTGTGGCCATTCCCTTTCACCCTGACGCTGGGCACTACAGAGAAAAGCCCAGCTCT